AGAAGGAAGAGAAGGAGAAGGAGAAGGGGAAGGAGAAGGAAGAGAAGAAGGAGAAGGAGAAGGAGAAGAAAAAGGAGGAGGAGGGAGAAGGAGAAGGAAGAGAAGGAGAAGGAGAAGGAAGAGAAGGAGAAGGAGAAGGAAGAGAAGGAGAAGGAAGAGAAAGAGAAAGAAAAGGAGAAGGAGAAGGAAGAGAAGAAGGAGAAAGAGAAGAAGGAGAAAAAGGAGGAGGAGGAGGAGGAGGAGGAGGAAGAGGAGAAGGAGAAGAAGGAGGAGGAAGAGGAGGAGGAGGAGAAGGAGAAGGAAGAGAAGGAGAAGGAGAAGGAAGAGAAGGAGAAGGAAGAGAAGGAGAAGGAAGAGAAGGAGGAGGAGGAGGAGAAGGAGAAGGAGAAAGATAAGGAGAAGGAAGAGAAGGAGGAGGAGGAGGAGGAGGAGGAAGAGAAGGAGAAGGAGAAGGAGAAGGAGAAGGAGAAGGAGAAGGAGAAGGAGAAGAAGAAGAAGAAGAAGAAGAAGAAGAAGAAGAAGAAGAAGAAGAAGAAGAAGGAAGAGAAGGAGGAGGAGAAGGAGGAGGAGGAGGAGGAGGAGGAGGAGGAGGAGGAAGAGGAGAAGAAGGAGAAGACAGAGGAGGAGAAGGAAAAGGAGAAGGAAGAGAAAGAGAACCAGAAGGAAGATAAGGAGAAGATGAAGAAGGAGAAAGAGAAGAAGGAGGAGGAGAAGGAGAAGGAGAAAGAGAAGAAGAAGGAAGAGAACAAGAAGGTGGAAGAGGAGGAGGAGAAGGAGAAGGAAGAGAAAGAGAAGAAGGAGGAGGAGAAGGAGAAGGAGAAGAAGGAGAAGAAGGAGAAGAAGGAGAAAAAGAAGAAGGAGAAAAAGGAGAAGGAAGAGAAGAAGGATCTGGCAGAACCTGTTGCAGTGTCCCAGTTGCAAAACCAAGAGTGTATCAGTGATCTTCACTCACAAGTATTGGCCTTTCTTGAATTATTATTGATTTGTTTTGAGTTGAGTTTGGTGTTGCCTGTTTCTAGGGGGAGTCAGGAAGAAAACACAGTGAGGGGAGGGGAGGAGGGAGGGAGTGTGTACATGCTTTCTGGATCACCTGCTTTGCATCACCTTTTCTTGCCCTATAGGGTGTGATCCTGTGAGTTCAGGTATATAAGCTGGAAAAGAGACCTGGGTGATTTAGAAGATTTCGCCTTCCGATTGGATCCCCCATTGAAGGTGAGAGCCATAGATTATAGAAAGAACTTTAAGGTACCTTTCCTGAAAGAGATGACAACATATTTGTACGCATAACTGCTGTGAAGAAAGCTACTTCTTAGCATTTTTTTCCTTTTCTTTTTTTTCTTTAACTTTTTGCTTTTTCCCACTTTTTTATTTTTCTTTGATTTCTTTCTTTTTTCTGTCTTATTTTATAAAGGCACCCACTCTTCTTTAAAAAAAATTCTCAGCAGCTTGAAATCTTTCAACCTCCTTTGCAAGAACTCCTGTGGGGGGCGGGGAGATATGATAGATGATTTATTTGACCGATGAGGCATCAGAACACCTTGTGTTATAAAGCCCAGGAAAGTCCTGTGCCTCTCATAAGAGATGGATGGTTTGCATTGTCTGTGTTTCTGATATTTCTTTGTCCATTTTTGGCAGCCAGTTCACAGGATTAAAAGGAAGGGGGGGGGAGGGAATTGCTTTTCTTGTCCATAGAAGAGATGAAGAGATACGGAAGAGGAAAATCAAGATTGTGGGGGGGGGGCTTAAAACTTCAATCCCTTCCATTTAGGTGTTGAGTTCATTGGGCTTGAGGATTAGCTAAGGGTCCCTTCTCCAAATTCTTCTCTGAGGTGGCCTGCTCTGACTTTACACCCTCCTTACATCCTGGATCGCACCTGCTGTGGCCCAGATCTTAATGGTCACAGAGGGAGGAACCAACCACGAGAGCCAGAAGCTCAGAATCCACATTTGGAGAATTACAGGCTGTGATTCCTGGAAGACCGGGGTCTCTACCCATTGCTCAGGGTAGTATTTGGGGAGGGGGCTGCAATCCAGAGACGAACAGGTGGGATTCATGGTTGAGACGAGTGCTGGGTTCTTCCTTCTGGGGGAGGGACACCCGAAAAAGGGGATGACCTGGTGTGGTTGGAGGACATTCAAGGTTCTTCTCAACTTCTGTTTCCCTCCTCAGGTTTGGAGATGCTTCTCATCACTTGCTTCATCTTTGGCCTCTTGGGCAGCCTTGCCTGGGCAGGTGAGCTGTTGCCAGCAAAGTTGATACATCCCATGTTGATATATCCCATGGGTCGCCATCTATCTAGTCCTTGGCTTATTTTAATGTTTTATTCTTAATGGGGGATTAATGCTTAATGCTTCTAGCTCTGATTCATCTAGATGAATCCAGAAAGGCATGGAGAGATGGAGTTCCTCAAGATCAAGGGAGGTACTAATACCACTCTATAAAGCCTTAGTAAGACCACACCTAGAGTACTGCATCCAATTTTGGTCCCCACACTATTAAAAAGATGTTGAGCCTCTAGAAACAGAGCAGAGAAGAGCAACTAGGGTGATGAGGGGACTGGAGGTTCAAACATACGATGAACAGGCATGACTAGTCTAGGGAAGAGAAGGACCAGGGAAAACATCATAGCAGTCTTCCAATATTTGCGGGGCTGCCCCAGAGAGGAGGGGCTCAAGCTATTTTCTAAAGCGCCTGTAGGCCAGACAAGGAATAATGGATGGAAACTGAACAAGGAGAGATTTAACCTGGAAACAAGGAGAAATTTCCTTCGGAAAATTGTGGGTGCTTCGGAAGTTGTGGGTGCTTCCTCACTGGAAGCCTTCAAGGAGAGACTGGGCTGCCTTCTGTCGGAAATGCTTCAGGGTTTCCTGCTTGGGCAGGGGGCATATTGGACTAGATGACCTACAATGTCCCTTTCAACTCTGTTAATCTAATCCAGAAGGCCTCCGTGTCTCATTATATGGACACCAGATACTGGTATCTACAGGGTGAGGCTGGCATACTTCCACTAAACAGGACCTGGGCCGTTTTACATCCCCTGGGTCACAACTGGCCTTTTGACTCTCTCTGTCTGGCCCACGTGAGGTCAGTCGGAAATTAGAAATCAAATGCAAACAAGTGTACATCATGGACGTAATACAATGCACTGGTTCATCGTGAAGGCAACTCTCAGCCAGTCTTTGAAAACTTGTAGATTTGCACACAAGCCACAAACCACCATGCAGGGCAGAAAGCAGGTTTCAAGGGTTTTAACGTCAAACAACAAATTTTCCATCCGACAAGAATGGTATCCCAACCGATCTAGGTTAGGACTGGAAGCTTCTGCCTGACAGTGTTATTTAAAGGTAGAAAGACACCCACCTAAATGCTTCTATCTCCTATCCACGCCCCTAATTATTCCCTTAATCACCCTTTATTCCGATCATCCGGTTCACTTAATAAGTCCGCTATTTCCTTCCCTATCACCTATCCATCACTCATGCTTCCTATCTCATTGCAAATCGCCCGTTTCTTCAGCCCAGTTGATTCAACAGCTGCACCGGCTGTTATCTCTTTCAGTTGGGCTTTGGCAGAATCACCTAATTAACGTCCAACAATCCATCAAACACAGATAGGAGTTTCCCTTCAAGTTACAGGACGACGGAGGATCCCTTCACACATTATAATTCTCCGATGCTGCAGCTGTTGCAATTCCTCAGAAGCCTCTATCATCGGCAGGGTGGGATGGCTACTCCTGCAAATGGGCTGATGGGCTCAGATCATCTATCATCCCTAACGGAGCCTGACAGGCTGCCCCCTCTACCAGAGATCCACCTAGAAAAAGAGAATGAACAGATGAAACCCTATGCATTGTCTCCCCCTTCCTTGGCAGGATACTTTAGGTGAAACTGTCGGCATAGCCAAGGGTCGTGCACCTCCGAATAGACCACCCATGATGCCTACCACAATCCTCCGACAGGGGATACCCTTTCCAACGAACCAAGTATTGCAAAGTTCCCCTATGTCTACAGGAATCAAGTATTTCACGAATCTCATATTGATCATCTTGAACAGGACCTGGAGGATCAGATTGGGTGTCAGAATTTGCCATGTCTGTTGGTTTAATGAGGCCAATATGGAAAACCGGGTGCATTCATCTAAATCGTGATGGTAATTTCAATTGTATTGTGACAGGATTGATTATCTTAATCACTGGAAATGGACCAATATATTTAGGACCCAGTTTCTTAGATGGCAGCCCCAAATTTAGATATTTAGTGGAGAGATATACAAGGTCTCATATTTTGAACATTTGATGGTCCGTTCATTTCTTATCAGCCTCTTTCTTATAACAACAAATCTATCAAATCGGCAAAATCAAAATCAAAGTCAAAGTTTCATATATATTTTTCATCACAAGCACAAAATCCAGAAGTGATATCCAAATAAAAACAAATGTATTCTCTTATTTGAATAAAGCAGTCAATTTAACCATTTCTGCTTTATCTTCCTTGCTGTGGGAATAATATATATTTCTATTTGCACTTAATAATCTTTATAAACTATCATTTATATTAATGAAATTCACTGTATTCATTTAGATATTTTAACCTTAAAGGGAAAATATTTTTTATCCATATTAAAACTCTAAACTTTTCTTTAAGCTAATACATCTTTTTCTTTAGGTTTCTCTTAACATAGATACTTTTTAATAGACTTTCAGTAATATTTTACAAGCTTTAAAAGTTACTTAAGCATTAAATATAAAGGAAACCAAATATATTTCAAACCCACTTTACATTATGACTTTTTCAATTACAAATATGAGACTGATAAAAATCCATCCTAATTCCAATTGACTCATTCAGTTTAAGTCCCTCCTTCCAGCTTATCTTCATGGAATAAAAGCTTTTTCTTCTCAGGAATGTTTATCAAGTCGTTATAAACATCTCTTTTGCTCAAGGATTTCTCAACCTTGTTAACCTCCATGAGGAAAAAGTCCATTTTTATTCTCTTTTCCAAGCAGGTCCACATGCTCGGAGTGTCTGTCCTTCTGGCACCTTTGCCAATAGAGACAGAAGCCAGTGGTATTGCTACAAGTTCTATGAAGATATGGCCACCTTTCAAGAAGCTGAGGTAACTATCCTGAGGTACCTCACCTGAGCGGGAAGAATTCCCTTAATCTGGCCCAACTTCACAAGGCCCAAAAGTTCGTGTCATTTTTTTAAAATGAAGAGCACCTGCTGTATGATTTTCCCTTTTTTAAAAAAAGGATAAAAATCTTCAAGAAAGAGTAAAATAAAATATTTTAATAATTCTGTTGAATTCCTGTTAGTTAAGCGGGATTAACGGGTTGGCTCTACTTCAATATCTGAGTGAAATTTGTCAAAGGAAGTAAAACTCGAATGAGATATCCAACTGCTTCATTTAAAGGGGATTGAATATTGTGTGATTCAACAGGTTGTGCAACTCGGCTATTGCCTTGTCCATGTTGTGGGAACAAGGCCAACAATCACAGGGTTAACAGGTGCCCCCCCCCTTAGCAACCATTCACAGTTATGACAGTGATGGAAAGGTATCTTTAGGGCCAATCCTCACATTTATGACAGTTGCCATTTACTTAGCAATTGTTTGGCTAAATGACTGAATTGCCAGCCCCAATTGTGGTTGTTAAATGAGGGCCTTCAAAAATTCAAGCCATGTTGCTTCAGAGTGACCCCTTGTCTCTCAGAGTGTTGTGTTTCCACACACAAACACACACCTCCTTCCCTCTTCTCTCTCCCCCCACCTTGTTTGCATGTCCCAGTTTTTTACGGATATCCCACTTCTGACACCACTTTCACACCTCACTCATAAGTGTGAGAGTCATCTTCCCCAATATATATATATTTTCTTCATTTTTCCTTGTTGGGCAAGAAAGTCATGCTCACATTTGCAGCTCCTCTTAGAAGAACTTCTACTGCAGGACATAGCTGAGAGGACCTTGTCTGACTAAACTGCAAAATTCCTGGGTTGGGAGGTATGGATTGTAGCAGACCTGCAATGGACAACATGGTTTGTTGGCGCTAAGATAGTTTTGGTTCTTCTCTGCAGGAAGAGTGTCAGTACAAATGGAGAGGTCATTTAGTATCTTTCACAAGAGACAAGCAGGCAGAAACCGTTGGTGCCTATATCAATAAAGAAAATACAGAGAATAACCACGTCTGGATTGGGCTCCAACGAGAGAATCTGGTGAGTACTCGGTCCTCCTGTCTCTGAGCAAGTAGCAGATGTTTCCATACGGATATTTCTTGAGTAGTGATTTATGTCGTCCTTGAACAGCCCATCAACCATCTTCCGTCTCCATTCCCTGATGTCAGTTCAGATACAACACCAACCCACTGCTGCTCCTGACCCAAGGGGACGCAAGGACAAAGGACCCCAAAGCCAGCAGCCAAATTCCCCTTCAGATCACAAAGAAGCAGATCTATAGTCAGGGAGGGATTTCTCCCTGCAGGATCCTTTTTAATAGCTAATAGGATTTATTCCAAGTTGATCTAAATCAGCTCAGTGTTTTTCGATATGAAAACCACGTTTTCTACCATGGAAGTACAAAGAGTAGGAGGGAGGGGCGGGGTTGGAAGCTGAAATGGATAGAAACATGGTCAGGAAACACCTTCAAGTCCTCAGGTTTTAGTTGATGGTTGGGATGAACTTTTGTGAATCGTCCTTGAGAAATCCTGGAGAGGGGTGGAAGTGCCAGTTGGCTTGGAGGAGGAGAAAATACGTCCCTGTCTTCAAAGGGGGGGAGGCAAAAATGCAGCTGTAGACAGTCTGACATTGATACCTGGGGAGATTCTTGAGGAGATGACAAAGAGATCAATCACAATGTCATAACTGTCAGGTATAAATCCTGCCCAATTATCTCCATCCTACTGTTTCCTCAGATAGTTTAGTCGATTATGGTCATGCAGCAGACGTCCTATATCCTGATTTCAGCACAGCCTTTGAAAGCAGACAAGACTCCAGTTGACGGCCAATCCCCAAGCTCATTGTGTCTCACGGCATCTTGAGAATTAAGGGAAACTCATCCTTATCTTGACAATTAGATTCCCAATCATGTGCAATTGGAAGAGATCTGGAGATCCTTTATTTTGGTCTCCTGCTCTTTGAAGGTACCATATCTCACCACAACTTTCTCTTCTCCGAGACAAACCCATGTCATGTTTGCAACCCAAAGTTCTCCCCAAGTTTTCTTTCTAAGCCTCCTTTTCATCTTGATTGCTCTGGAGACTCTTCAATTTGTCGAGGCCCTTCCTGAAACACAATCGCCAGAACTGGACACCGCAGTAATTAATCCCGGATCTTTGGCTTGTCTATATTTCCATCGTTGCTTTGAATGAAGAAGTGGCGCGAGTGTTAAACTGGCATGGACAATAACCTTGTTGCTCTTGTTCGGTTGCTAAGTCATGCCCAACTCTTGGCCACCCCGCAGACCACAGCATGCCAATCCTCCCCCACCCCCGTCCTCCACTCTCTCCCAGAGTTTGCCCCAAAGATGAGACCGTAGAGTGGGGTTTCTCAGCCTTACCCCTTTTAAGAGCCCTGGACTTCAACTCTCAAATTTCCCCAGAGGTTGTAGAATTTGGGGAGTTGAAGTCCACACACCTTAAAATGACCAGAAAGGCAGCCCTAAAGACAGAGCTCGCACTCAAAGGAACTGGAGAGTTAGACAAACGGTCTGAATGCAACAGTTGGAAATGCAAAGTTCTTTTCTTAGGAAGTAAAAACTAAAAGCACCAGAGTCACATGAAGGAAACCTCCTGGATGGGATGCGGCTGCAAAAAAAGGACAAATGTGATTTTAGGTTACATCCACAGGAGTAAAATCCCCCCCCCAAAAGGGAAGTAACTGTTCTATGGGGTCCTTGATCCTCTCCCTCTCCTTCCCTTCCTCCCCCCTCTCTCTCCCCTTCTCCTTCTCCGTCTCTCTCCCTCTCCCTTTCCCTCTCCCTCCCTCTTTCTCCCTCTCCCTCCCTCCCTCTCTCCCTCCGCCCTCTCTCTTTGCTTTCTTGCAAAAGTTTCATGACCCAACTAGGTAATAACTTCAGTGCTAGAAGGGAGGGGGGTTGCTCTATGGCCCTGCCCGTGTTGGTGGGAGTGGGCTTGGTGGCTCCGTGATTAGGCTGTTCTTTACTTTGTTTGTCTGAGGTGGGAGTTCCTGGATTGGGGTATTGTTTATTTCTTGATTGTAAAGTCAGAAAACCCCACTCCCTCCTAGCACTGATGATGCTTCCTAGTTGGGTCATGAAAGGCCTGCAAGAAAAACTCCAGGCTCAGAGAGCACCAAGGACCCCCACAGTCGTCCTTCCTCCTCCTCCTCCTCCTCCTCCTCCCCCTCCTCCTCCCCCTCCCTCCTAGCACTGATGATGTTTCCTAGTTGGGTCATGAAAGGCCTGCAAGAAAAACTCCAGGCTCAGAGAGCACCAAGGACCCCCCAGTCGCCCCTTCCCCTCCTCCTCCCCCTCCTCCCCCCCCTCCCCTCCCCCCACACTCCCTCCTAGCACTGATGATGCTTCCTTGTCATGACTCAAAGGCTCAGGGGACCTTGGATTCTGGGCACAGCAAGGCCGGTAACAACAGCGCTTGGACTTATATACCGCTTCATGCATCCCAAGAGCCTCACTGAGTCTCTGTCATGGGTGTGAGGGGCCTGCTTGCACAAAAACCTATTTCAAAGGACTTCCCCCTTTGAATTAATTTGAGCTGAATTCAGAATTGGAATTTAAAATTCTCTATCTCTCCCCCCCCCCCCCGTGTCCCCCACTCACCCACTTCAAAATGCTTTATTCCGCATGGCACAGGCTAGTGCATGGCGCTGGACTGATGGATCACGATCCAAGTACAGAAAGTTCAACTCGGCACCATCTCTAGTGGAGTCTTACAATGAACATTGCGCTGCCTTCTCTCCTGTATATGGTCAGTATGAAAAACCATAATTCCTTAGGGTGGTTGGAATTTGCATCTGTAATTCCAGCAAAGCAAGGGAGGGGAGGGGAAGAGAAGGAAAACAGGAAGGGAAGGGAAGAGAAAGGGAAGGGAAGAGAAAGGGAAAGGAAGGACAAAAAGGAAAGGAAAAAAGGGGAGGGAAGACAGGGAAGGGGAGGGAGGGGGAGGGAAAGGAGAGATCCATACAGATTGTGGGAATAATGCTCAAATTGAAGGATTATTTTTGGAAAGTGGCTGATTTAAAGTATTTATTGGAAAACCTTAACAGGCAAAAGTTAGACATTTCCAGAGTCTCAGAAAATGGTAGTTCATCATCTCAGCATTTGTCGCAGAGGCAAGCTCGTCTAACTGCTTCTTTCTGCTATTCCTCATTCACTCTCAAAGCTGGAGAGGTTTGTGGATGCCTGATTTCATTTCAGACATGGATATTTCCATGGCCACCCAGCTCAATCAAGGGGACTCTGGGTGGCACACAGCACCAAAAATAAACATACAACCTAAAACATGGACTGTATTTCATTTTAAAAAGTAAGCCAGGTGTGCAAAACAGCAATCTGAATAGAATAGATTAATGCAGTGTTTTTCAAGATGGGCAACTTTAAGAAGTGTGGCTTTCAGCTCCCAGAATCCCCCAAGTGGAGACCCAAATCTTAACTCCTTTGTGAGAGAGATGGCTCAGCTTATAATATCTGGTTCTCAGCTCCCAGAACCCCCCAAGCAGAGACCCAAATGCTGGAGGGAAGGGCCAAGTCTTAACTGCCTTTATGGAAGAGTCGAGTGTGTTGTAGCTCAGCAGGAAGATTGTTCTAGAACAGGGAGGCAGCCACCGAACATGGACCTTTCCTAGATCCCACCAGAAGGCAATGCGTAGATGAGGGGAGCTGCAGTATGACACCCCACCTGTAGGAGAGCAGCAGGCTGAGCTGGAAGGCGGAGTTAAACTTGTCATCTGTTTGAAGTCTTTGCGTTGCCGCCAGAGACCCAACTCCAGTCCCCTTGAAGTCTGTTGAGCCTTACTTAATGTCAATTTGGCTTTGACCATTAGTTGACTAGATTCTTGTGGATTGGAGCTATTTGTGCATGACACCCCACATGAGTGGACAGGCAGAAGTATTTGAGAAAAGATAGTCTGCTAGTGGCCCAATCCTATGCCACATCAGGCTCTAAAGGCTGATGCACCACCCATGTTCCTTTCTTTCAGGGCGCCTGAGTTGGTCTGAGCAGGACTGTAGCAGCAAATTTCCTTTTCTCTGCAAATGGAAGCCCTCTTAAGCCGAGTCTGAAGATGGAGTTAGAGGGCTCCCCATTGATTGGAAACCTGAGCTGAGATCTTTTGGTTCCACCTTCTCCATGTGCAAAACCTCTTTTCCACAAAGGCCAACTGAATGCCAAGTAGTTGGTTCCTTGCTTCTCTTCCTCTCTTTCTGAAGAACGTGGCCCTCCCTTGATAATAAAAGTCTATTGCTCTGCCTTCGTTTTGAGTTTGGCGTTTCTCTCTCAGGAGGCCCAGGGCTCCTCCTGAATAAGTTCCAGGGGGAAGAGGGGGTTGTATCTGCAGTTGATTTTCTGGCCACAAAACACCCAATGCAACCTTATTGGCTCCTTCTCTCCCACCTTTTTTCCCAGAGGGGAAACATGAAATTAATGAGAGGAGAAATATGGATTTGTGGAAATAATGTGCCCCCAGAGAAAAAAAGAATCCATGCAGGGTGGGTAGCTGGAGAATTGCTGAACCCAACCAGACCACAAACATTAACCAGCAAAAGCTGGAAGAAAGAAATGCATTCATGATGCTTGTCTTCTGGTTCATTGGCACCTCCTGTAGGGAGCCAGAAGTCGTTTAGTTTACTTTATTGTCATTGCATCTCGTGCAACAAAATTAAATGCCATCTTCAGTGTACAATTTATGGCTATGAAAATAAACACAAACACGCATCCTTCACGTTCCATGCAGTTGAATTGAAAACCCCTGATATTGCCTTAATATTGCACCATACAGTAGAATTCGACAGAGCTCCTGCCCTGGGATAGAAGCTGTTTTTTTCCAGCTGTTTTTGTCCTTGTTTTTATTCTCCTGTACCGTCTGCCAGATGATAATAGTTAAAAAAAAATGGGTTCCCAGGATGGGATGGATCTTGGAGGATGTTTTGAACTTTCTTAAGGCAGCGGGAGCTCTGAAGCTCTTCCAAAGGAGGGAAAGCCATGAGTGTCTCTTCCAGGGTGTTTGAGCTGCAGAGCAGGGGTGCTACTTTCCCTCTACCCACTGGAGACAGATCAGCTGCCAGGGCTCTTGGATCAGAGGCCAAGGTCCAAAGGGAATCCCCAAGGCTGGGATACATCACAGTGCTATATGCAATGAGGCGTTGGGGTCCAGGGTCAAATTACTTTTCTACTTTGTAGACATTATGCAAAAATCTACCTCTGCAGGCAAGGCTTTAATTCTGGGGAGGGTAGAAGGAGAGAGAAGAGCATGAAGAGCAACCAAGTGGATGGACTCGGTTGTATTGGCAGAGAGTACAATATTGGAAGACGTGGAGGATCTGGGTGGGGAAACATCATCAAGGAGAAGATCCATCTCATTGCTAAATGTTGAAGGCACACAATCAATCAACCAACCCTCTGGAGTTAGGCTGTACAATTTACATATTTCTGGATCATGGCGTCTTAACACTGCACTATACTTTTCTACAAGCCATTCTGTCTGGTGACTGACCTCATGAGGTCCTCTCGGGTTTGCCCAGAGATAAAACATGTCAGGTTATCTTGCTTCTACCACAAAGACTTTATCTATAAAGTCATTAAGATGTTGGTCTTCATTCTTAGACTTTGATTCAGATGAGGTGAAGAACATGGCCATGATCTGGCTTGGGACAATCACCCAAAGGATATGAAAGTAACTAGGATGGGATGTCCAATGAGAGGAAGTCTTTAGCCGGGTTTAGTTGTCCAGCTTTGGAACTTCCAAGGCTTCTCAAAAGTCCAAGGAAAGACCATTATTCCCGCCTGTCTTGATGTTCTAGTTCAGAGGTCTCCAAACTTGGCAGCTTTGTGGACTTCAACTCCCAGAATTCTCCAGCCATCTGGTTGGAGAATTCTGGGAGTTGAAATCCACAAGTCTTAAAGTTGCCAAGTTTGGGGACCCCTGTTCTAGTTGATTGTCCTATTGAATAACTGGGTTCCTTGGAGCAGAATTCAGATCTGGGGGGTCAAAGAAGAGCTACACTACAAGCCTGCAGAAGAATTTGTCAGGATAACTGTTATGATCAGCAGAGCTGAGCGGGAACTGAAGTTTGTTCTCATTGGCTGAGCCATCTGACAGCGAACCATATAAAGGGAGCTGTCAGACCGCATCAGCTGTTGCTCATTCCTGTCAGCCGTTCCGCACATTCAGCAGCTACCGCAGCAACCCGTTAACCGTTAAGAGTTACAGTAAATGTTTGATAGTTAATAAAAGGTTATCTTTCGAGATCGTAGACATCGTCTTTACCTTCACAAAACTGGCGACGAGGATGGGATCGATGCGATAAAGGCTTACAAGATCCCTGAAGAATTCGATGCACACTGTTCAGTTACCTCAGCAGGCTGATGAGATGTCTTCCCCTCCATCATTCCCGTGTTTCCATCCTACAACAGAGACATGGTATTCTTACATTAATAGATTAGAGTGTTTTTTAGATGCTGCTGACTTGGTGGACATTCCAAATCACAGAAAAAAAGCTTATTTTCTAAGTTTCTATGGGGCAGCTGTCTTCGACACTGCCACTGCTTTATTGGCGCCACAATCTGTGAAAGAGGTTTCCTGGGAAGCCCTCCAGGAAATCCTTAGTAACCATTACGCCCCCAAGCCTTCCCAAATCACAAGACGACATGCCTTTAGACAGCGAACACAAGCAGAAGGGGAGACCATTAGTATGTATATGGCTGCGCTCTGAACAGCAGTGTTACAATGCGGTTTCAAAGAACTTGATGACATGCTGCTTGATCAGCTGGTTTGTGGGGTGAGAGAACTCAGACTCCAAAGACACTTGTTGGCAAAGGGTGACCTCACATTAAAAATGGCCATAGAAGAGGCTCAAGCCACAGAGATGTCCAATCTCTCTGCGGCTGAGATCCAAGGCGCAACTAGCAGTCTGGTGGCAAAGCCAAATGCTACTGTACATTTTGAAGAATTTACCCCTGATGAGTTTTGGGACTATGGTGAAAACATTAATCGCCTCACCAATCGCCAGCAACTGCAACAGCAAAGAAGCTGGAACCCAGGAAACAACCTCAACAGTTTCCTCCAGCGCAGCTAATTTGCTTGAGTTGTGGGGGTGATCATTTAAGAACTGCCTGTCGGTTTAGAAATGCTATTTGTTTAAACTGCCAGCGAAAGGGCCATATAGCTAGGGTCTGCAAATCTGGAAAGAAACCACCGCAATTGCAGCCACCAGCTAGGTACCAGAAACAAAGAGATGAGTGTTTTACTGTTACTAGAGCATCTCCCACTGACTCTCTAAACAATTTATCACAACAGCTGCACATTAATAAGCTTCATGTAACCATCTCATTAGAAGGTAAAGAGTGTCCAATGGAGATTGACACCAGTTCGTCTCTGTCCATACTTTCCTGGAACACCCTCAAGAGACTGATTCCGACCATCTCCTAGAAGCGACTTCAACCTTGCAATCTGTCTCTCAAGGACTATCAAGGGCGGAACATATCAGTCATAGGAACAGGCAAGTTTGCAATTGATTTTCAAGAGTTCAAGGGGCGTTTACCCCTTATTATTCTAGAAGGCGCTTTGCCTAGTTTGCTGGGATTAGACTGGTTTGATGTTTTAGGTCTTAAAGTGACTGGCATACATTGCACTCAAAACCAAGACTTTGAGTCATTATTAGATGAGTTTAAGGACATCTTCAACGACGAGTTAGGCCATTATGTAGGCTCCCCAATTTCTTTTGCATTGGACCCAGCCATAACACCTATCAGGTTGAAGCCCCGACATGTTCCTTTTGCATTGAAACCAAAAGTTGATAAAGAAATTGATAAATTGATCTCCCAAGGGGTTCTGGAGCCTGTGGATTATGCACTATGGGAAACCCCGATAGTGACCCTGATTAAACATGACGGCTCTATCAGATTATGCGCAGATTTTAAGAGCACAATGAATAGGGCCTTGTGCACTAGCACATACCCTGCACCTGTAATTCAACATCTCCTCCATTCAATGGAAAAAGGCACCATATTTGCTAAGCTTGACATGGCCCAAGCTTACCACAAGTCCCTGTCGATGAAATAACTGCTATGGCCCAAACCATTGTGACACACAGGGGAGCGTTCAAGTGTAAACGCTTGCAGTTTTGGGTATCTGTGGCTCCTGGCATATTCCAATGCCTTATGGAACGTTTGCTACAAGGTATCCCTGGCATTATACCATATTTTGATGATGTCATCATCGTTGCACAAAACAAGCAAGACCTTCTGGCACGCGTTAGACAAGTCCTAACTTGCTTCAAGACCTCTGGCCTCAAATTAAAAAGAGACAAATGCAAATTTGGTGTCTCCCAAGTAGATTTTCTGGGCTACCGCATTGATGATCAATGGATTCACCTTACAGACTCTAAGGTTAAAGCCATTAAGGATGCACTAGTTCCTAACAACAAAAAGGAACTACAGGCCTTTTTAGGTCTCCTATGCCTCATTCCTTCCTCACAAGGCTTCTATTGCAGAACCGCTGCACAGATTATTGGACGCCAAAGCTCAGTGGACATGGGGACAAACACAACAGGTCTCTTTTGAGGCTGTCAAATCATTGCTTTCATCTGACAGCATTTTGATGCAATTTGACAGCCAATTACCCTTAATTCTATGTTGTGATGCATCTCCTTTTGGTAGAGGCTCTGTCCTAGCTCACATATTGCCAAGTGGGGTGGAAGCCCCGATAGCTTATTTTCAAGGACTATGTCAGCGACAGAAAGAAATTATTCCCAAATTGATAAGACTTTGGCAGCCATTGCATCAGTTAAACGGTTCCACGAGTTCCTCTATGGCCACCACTTCCAGTTAGTGATGGACCACAAACCTCTCCTTGGTATCCTGTCCGGTGATCGTCAAAGCCCCCTGTTTTGTCCCCTCAGATGACCCTCTGGACAATATTCCTGGCTGCCTATTTGTACACTCTGTCATACAGGGTGGGCAAACACCTTGGACATGCGGACGCTTTAAGCTGTTGCCCCTTACCGGACAAAATCGAAGACCTCACTCCTGCCTCGTCGATACTATTGATTGATGATCATCAATTACCTGTCACGTCTGCGGACATTGCTAACAATCTAACAATCTAACAATCTTATTCTCTTACAGGTATTGGACTGGGTGAGGAGGGGGTGGACCTTCCTTTAGATGCCCCATTTCTGCCTTTCAGAGCAAAGCAGAATGAATTGTCCACCCTGCAGGGCTGCCTTCTG